TTTTTTTTTTTTTTTTTTTTTTTTTTTTTTTTTGGCACTGTGGGCCCATATAGTTTGTTTTTGAGTTTTTCACTGAATATTGCCCCAAAACTGTCAGTGAAAACGATGAATTTTCGGCCCTCCGTTAACCGTGTGTCGTACTGGTGGCAGTACTTTTGACCCTTCCCTTGCATGCCAAATAAAAAAGAATTTGCATGCCAAATAAAAACGTACTGGAAAAAAGTTGCAGTCTTTTCGGGTACAGACTGCGAAGGAGATCTCATCCCCTGACGGCACCATTGTCAAAGCGATGGGAGAACAGGGTAGGGGTGCCACCGAATCAACTATCCAAAATACAATGGGCATTGATCAACACAATACGCTTGGGCAGAGTCAGAAGTATGCAGTGGCTAATAGCCCATGTGGCCCTTCCGGTGAATGCAAGGCTAAACGAGAGAAGAAGTCAGGCCCAGAGGGACCCGGCCGACGCTTTGTGCACAATTTGCCAAGCAGGGACCCCGGAGACAATGTCGCACTGCCTTTTGGAATGCGCACTGGCAAAAAGTATTAGGGAGGAAGCCAAGACCATCTGAAGCTACTTCTCACGGGTTCCCTTTCCGGTATTCAAAACCACCCTACTGCTGGGAATCGACCTCCCAAGCCAATGGCAACCATTTGAGAAGCACGTGTTCCAACTGATAAGACAATACAGCCTCTGGACTATTTGGAAACGCAGATGCCAAATCACCATCGAAAAGTGGTCAATGCACAAGCAGGAGGCAAAGGAGATACTCCTCACCCTAATTGAAACCAATCCGCGAGCACAATGGAAGAGGGTGAGGAGGCAAAGCCAACAACATCCAGAGCAGGCTAAGGAATACAGGACTCGCTTCATCCAGAACGTGCTGGGGCAAGAGGCGGTAGCTAGTAATCGGGGAGTAAAACTAGTATTTAAATGGAGAACGGAAAGACCGGGAGGGAACTAGGCAGCGAATAGTCAAGGAGGCTTAGTAAAGTCTAGGGGAAAGGTTTAAACGGGCAGGAAGAACGGAAAGTCGGGAACGGTTGATTGCTGAATTCTCGGGAATGGGAAAGTTGCAACACTCCAGGCCCCGGGCCTAGTAATTCTGGGGAGACAGAGAGGAGGAGGTGTCGGAGGTAAAGGGAAAGAGGAGCAACAGCAGTAGGGTTTAGGGTTTAAGGTGAGGACAGGGGGAAAGAGAGAGGGGAGGGAGAAGTTAGACGGAGGAAAATTGAGGCAGGTTTAGGGAGCAGCATGTTGGGACACTCCGTAGAGGTTTCATTTCTTCCATTTCATTTCAGCCTTTCTTTTCTGAAGTCCAACCCGGGGGTATGACAGTCAGTTCTTTCGGCTCCTAAATGCAACCTAGGGGCAGGTTGGAAGGTTCTTCCCTTTATTGCTAATGGCCTTTTGATTTTTGATTAATCCACTCTTGTCTTTTTTCGGGAATAGCATGTAGCTTAACAGGAGAAAGGGGCACTGGACCCGGGTTCGAGTATGAGCCTAATCAGGGTAATAGCCCCCGTCTTCCAGGTTGAGATGTGGAGGGATTCCTGGCCTCCTTTTGCGCTATATATTGTCACATCACTACAAACTAAAAGAGCGCACTTTGCGGAACAAAGAATAAAAGCAAAAAACGGGCACAGTGATAACATGCAAAATAAAAAGAAAAAGAAAAACAAAAAGAAAAAACAAGG